ACAAAGTTTGTAACGAGAAAGATAAACTAGTTTTAATCAAGAAAGGACTTGTATCGCTGAAGTCACTCGGAAAGAATTTTTACCGGAAATTATCAAACAAGCAGATAAGTAACAATATGTTGAAGCAGTTCTACAGTTCGAAATAATGATGATAATAAAATATAATAGTAATTAAGAAATGAAAATGAAATGAAACATAATGCAATATCAAAGAGGGAAATAAAACTTACAAACACTGCGAGAATGAGTACCAAAAAACGAAACCGATTACAAGATAGAAAAAAGGTATACTATTGAGACTGATAGAAACTTCGGCATTAGGTAAAACTAAAAAGTGAATTATAAGTATTAAATAAGAGGTTAAATCTTAAGTTTTGGTAGATCTACTTTTATTCATAACTTTTTAAAGGAATTTAAAATATTTTAGGTATTGATATATGTCTTATCTCATTTGCGTTTGTGACTAATATATTGTCGAGTAATAATAATTAAATTTGCAGTAAATTAAAAGAAAAAAATAACTCAAAGATCACATTAGCAATCAAAATCTTAAGTGTGAGAAGTCACCTAACATTATTTTTGTAAACGAGTAAGTACATCAATAATATATGCAAAAAAAAATCGAGCACGACACAACTGGAGCCTGGAAAATTTAAGACGGCAGATTCGTGATGTTTTCAGAACTGCAGTGCCTAGTCTATTATGAGATGCATGATAATAAAGAACAAGTTGACATGTATGAATGACAACTTTTTCCAGTTTATTTTGTGCGACGTTTCGAGCATACGCTTTTCGTCAGGCATTAAAGATCATGTTGGGATGACTGTGAACATTACTAAAATATACAGCACTACGACACTAGTTTTGAACCCAGTTCTTTTGGACACTAAAACAGAAGTTAGTTAATCTCATCATATGTCACCATGCACTTTAATTAAAAACAAAATCAACGGAAGAAACATTTTCGACATTTTATGGTGAATTCGATTTTTTTTTGTCGAATTAATGACTTGTGTCGCTAATTAGTTGAACTTGTTCTAATCGAAATGTAATATTGAATTTGTTTTTAATACACAGGTACGTATTCTCAAACATCTCTGCCAGTCTGTGAAGAAACAAGTTGCTATCCAGCCGTAGGAAATTTGCTGGTTGGTCGAGAAAAACATCTTTACGCTTCTTCAACCTGTGGACAACAGAAAAAGGAACATTTCTGTATTGTTAGTCATTTAAAAGAAAAGAAGAAATGTTTTAGTTGTGACTCTAGAAATCCTGGAGAATCTCATGAAATTGAAAATGTTGTTTCTAGGTAAAAGAAACTTCATTATATACAAATAATGGATATATATACATACACACACACACACACACACACGTGTGTGTGTGTGTATATATATATATATAATATAATATGTGTGTGTGTGTGTGTAACTTTTCTTGATTTAGTATTATAAGTCAAATCTTAAAATAAATAATTAATAATTTTTGTGTGCAAAACTGGCAACCATAAAGCTTACAAATTAATAAGTATCTTTGCTAGGATTGGAGGTAATAACTCGAAATGGTGGCAAGCAGAAAATGGCAAGGAAAATGTTACGATACAGCTGGATTTGGAAATGGAGTTTCATGTCACACATCTCATCATCATTTTTAAAACATTTCGACCTGCTGCCATGCTTATTGAAAAGTCTCATGACTTTGGAACAACATGGAGAGTATGTATAGTCATTTAATAACTAATATCTTTGGTTACTGTTGCAAAATCGGACTTAATCTTGTGTTTAAATGTGTTTATTAGTAAAGACCAAACTTAACTCATCTTTAAATCCCAGTTATTCCTTAAGAACTTCAAGTTGAGAAATATCTATATAAAATTTCATGCTCAAAATGAGATTTTTCAGTAACTCTAGTTACATAATTTTTTTTTTGAAGCTGTCTTTATTGTTGGTTTTATTTGCATCAGTAAAAGTGTTTGAGGAATAACCTGTTAAAATCATTGAACTAACCCATACTTGTAGTAATGACAACAGTTTCAGAAAATATGTTGGTTGATATTTAGTGTTTTATAGTAATTTATTATATAATAATCTTTGGAATGTTGTAACAGATGATTGAAGAAAGGTTAATTATGTTTCCAGTGAAAACCTGTGTTGTAAATAACCATGACTGAAGAAGGAACATGTCATGGTACTTACTTCAGACCTTTAACTATTTCAATTTTTTCTTAGAATTATTTTATTTTACAATATGATTCCAATGACTTAAATATAAGAAAATTAATTTAGCAGCAGCTTTCTTAAATGGTGTTGTAACTATACCTTATAACTATTTTTAGTTGAATTAAGTTAAATAGTAATTAATTTAAATAACTTTTATATGCTGTATATTGTTGATTAAATAAGTGTTTTGTTTGTATAATACACAGGTGTACCACTATTTTGCCAACAACTGCACAAAGTCATTTCCAGGAATACCAACTGGGTCTAGACAGAGGGTGACTGATGTAGTCTGTGACTCCCTCTACTCTGGGGTTGATCCATCCACAGGGGGAGAGGTAAGCATTCTGTTTATTGAACTGGTAATGTTTACTTCTGGTGTTTTTTAACCATTTTGTCAAAGGACACAATTTTTTTTTTTGTAAATATAAAGAATGTCATATGATTGTCAGCTGAACTAATATAAACTCCTAAACTGTGATGGTGATTGTTATATGTATACAGTAAATTAGTGTTGATATTGCCAATATTGTATGTTCTCTTGGAAGTTTAACTCGTCATTGTTATCAACTGGATGCTGTATTTAATATTGATTTATTAATAAAGTGTTTGTAAAATGTAGTTTTAAAATTTGTATTTTGTTTTCAAAATTGGATGGGTTTTAGAAATACATTGTTTCTTTATATTGTAAATTTCTGTATCTCAAAAATGTGTTCTTCAATTTTTTAACTATATATTTGCCCCCCAGTGTCTTGTTGGTAAGCTGGAAAGCTTAATGCTAAAAACCATGTTATGATACTTGTGGTGAGTACAATATAGATGGTGTGGCTTTGTGCTTAAAAACAAGCAAAGCTGCCATATTTATTCTTAATCTGATGGAAGTTTAAGCTGGTGCTATGACCTTGTTTTACTTTACAACTGGATCAGCCATGATCTAGTGGTTTGCATGCTTGGATTGTATATCTGAGGGTTTGTGGTTCACATTCCTATTGCTACAAACAACAACAAAGCTTCACACTTTTGGGCTGTAAATATGTTTTATGAGAGTGATGATCAAATAATACTATTTGGTCAGACACAAGTATCCCAAGAGTTGTCTGCGAGGTGCTTTTGACTGGTTGCTTTCTATCTTGTCTACAAGTTCAAAATTTTGGACAGCTATGCCAAGATAACCTTCTGTGTAAATTTTATATATATACATAAGTTGGCTATTATCTTATGGTTTGAATGTTTATTGGAAAATATTACAATTTATAACGAGTAGGCATCAGTGTTTTGAGCCTTCTATTGAGCAATAAGCTTCATTAAGTATCTCATATTTTATCTTCAATTTTTATAGGAATGGTTTTAGTGACTTGACTATTGTAATTTACTTAGTTAATTAAATGTTCTGTTTGTTTCGTTAGGTTATATTTAAAGTTATACCTCCTAATATTCAAGTGGATGACCCATATAGTCTTGAAGTTCAGAATTGTTTGAAAGTGACCAACCTGCGAATCAACTTCACGAAGCTCTATTCACTTGGTGATAATCTTTTGGATTCAGTAAAACCAAATAAAATGAACTATTATTATGCTATTTATGAAATAGTGGTGAGAGGGAGATGTTCTTGTCATGGACATGCTAGTCATTGTGTAGCAAAACTTGGCCAACCTACAGGGCCCGATATTGTAAGTTGCTAATTTAGAATACTTTTAAGTTAGTTAATATGCACTTGATTTAAAACTTACATCAGAATTAATGCAATGTGAGACATGTATTTGCTTGAATTTTGTATTTTAAGTGATTGAAACACTGTAGAAAAAAATACTGACAAAAATGCTTCACTTGTATAATAATTGAAAAAAATTGTAACAGTCATATAAAATATTTTGCTACAAACACAATAGCCACAAAATGTTTTATTATTACAAGTGAATATGAAAAAATTTCAGATTTATAGCCTAACATGGCAATGCTTACCGCTAATTAACAGGCATTGAAGTTAAACAAATGAGATGTTAAGAGGTGTTAAATGCAGTACCTTTGTTTATATAAAAAAGAAATATAAAAATTATGCATGTGTTAAGCTAAATGCAAGTGATTGGCTTCACAGCATTAGTATATTAGCTATTAATGTGTAATATTAGTTTGTGTGATTATGCAGTTATTTATATTATTTGTCATATATTTGTTATTCTATTTATAGAAAACTTGCTTAACCGAATGTTTAAACTTTTGTATATGTGTTACTGCAAACAGAAGTATAAATTTATTACAAGTTGTATGAATGTAAAAAAAAAAATACAAGGCAGTTAGTTTAAGAAACTTAATTTCAATATGTGACATTATACAAAAAGTCAATCTTAATCAGAAAAAAAAAGTAATCTGTGAAATTTGGAAAAATTAACAAACTCAATTTTGGTTTTTGGTGTATGGATTTCTAATAATTTTGCTAGAAATGTGATAAGTGGGTTTTTATGTGAAATTACATTTCAAAATAATTAAGATTAACTGTAGATTGATGTTTCCAGAACTTCTAACTAATTCCTATACCTACAACTGTTCCAAATGTTCACTGTTAATATTAAGACAGTCACTCTTTCACTCACTACAACAAAGCAAAGTTACTGATCACTAATTCAGTTATTCTAACTAAAAGAACCCTTGAAACAGAAACATGACTTTGAAAAATCATATAAAGAGCAGGTCTCTGCATCTTAGTGGTATGCAAATTTTGCATTGCCCTGTACACCAAATTTAGAAACCATTTAATACAAAAGATTAATTCCAGATTGAAACTTGTTCACTGCTTTCTTTTGACTCTTTTTCTTTATAGCCTAACTCTCTATTTATAAAGTTGGGAAGTGGGGAAGATGTGTACCAAAAGCTAAAATAGTCGCATTATGACACTTGCCAACTGAATTATAGAGGGAAATAGTGTAGTGCATATTTTCATCTTGTATATCTTTATCATAACTTAAAATTTTAATGTAAGATTTTACAATAAAACTAATGTTAAGTGATCAAAGTGAATATTGTTTCTAGGAATTGTGTGAAAATTCACATCATCAGATAGAAGTTTAGGTCATAGCATTGCAGACTTTTGGGCAGTCCATCCCTCCAAAAAGTTTTCTGGAATATAATATCTTGATGATATCCATCAGATAACTCAATATTTTTGTAACTTTCTAGTCATGAAGAAAAAATAGTAAATATATCTCCCTATTGAACTTGAAAAATTCATTGTACAATCACATTGGACTGATTCATAAAATGGATTTTAGACTACTTTTGAATATCAAGTTTGACCTATCACTGTTTGATTATTATGATACTTTGAAGCCATAAGCAAACAACTGAGCAGTGATATACATTTAAAGAAAATAATTTTTTCTCAGACTTATGATTCATTAACAAATGGATAAATGTATGCAAATGACTTGTTATTTTTACTATAGGTTTATGGAAAATGTATGTGCACTCACCACACAAAAGGATTTAACTGTGAACATTGTGAAGACCTGTACAATGATATACCTTGGAAACCTGCAATAGGAAACCAGACTAATGCTTGTAAAAGTAAGAGCCTATTTTCACAGAATGAGAGATACAACTAATTGTGTTTGGATTTTTGTTATATAAAGAAAAATCAATAAAAATGATTTACATGAATGTCAAAGCCATGGATAAAGTTAATGATGAAAGTTTAGAATCTTGGCTACTAGTACATTTAAAGTAAAATTTTAGTTAAGTAATTTCATTCTAATCTGACATACCTTTAAAAAGTTCCTGTTTTTTTACATGCAACCACTCTGGAATACAGTGTAGTGGAATTTGAATTTGCAAACAAGTATGTTTTTTTTTTCTTTGTTGTAAGTATGTAAAGATTTTTGTTATACAGGCAAAGCATCAATAAGCATTTTTGTCAATTTGTCCTGTATTGTTCTTATAGAATGTAATTGCAATGAACATGCTACAAGATGTCACTTTGACCAGGCACTATGGGATTCAACTAATAAAGTGAGTGGAGGGATATGTGATGGTTGTCAGCATAACACGATGGGTCAAAATTGTGAACAATGCAAACCTTTTTTCTACCATGATCCTACACTTGATGTAACTCATGTAAATGTTTGTCAACGTGAGTACAGGATAATACGTTTGCTTGATATGAAAACAGAACTTGAATTGAATATTAAATTTAACATTTTTGTAAAATAGTTTTTATACTATTAAATGTATCTAAGCTTGAAATATTGATTACAATATGTTGAAAATAAACATGTTAAACAATTCTCCTAGATGCTAATTTTGTATAAAGACTGCAGTTTGCACTTTAATGGAATTGACTATAATAAAGAATATGCCAGGTTTTAAATCACATTTCAGGAAATTATTTGGTAAAAATTAAGCAACTTTAAGGTATTTTATTCATTGAAATTTAATATTTATTCATAAAATCTGGTGAAAAGAGGCAGTTAACAAAATTTTATTTAGTATGATAGAATACTTTTTGTAATTTAATTTCATATGTTAATCAGACTTCACGTGTGAAAACTTGTTTGAACATATAGGTCACACATGTTACTACTTCATTGTGATTTGATGTTCTAGTTCAGTAGTGTAATGTTTTAAAGGTAATTATGAAACTCTTAAGAATATAATTTATTGTATGACATTTTATTGACAGCATGTGACTGTGATCCTCATGGCTCCTTGGATAAGGGTAACTGTGAACCTGTAAGTGATCCTGCAGCTGGGATTGTTGCAGGATTTTGTCACTGTAAAAACAATGTTGAAGGAAAATGCTGTGATCATTGCAAAACTGGATTTTGGAATTTCCAGCCTGATAATCCTGATGGCTGTGAATGTGAGTTGCAATTCACTCTTCTACTTGTATCTAATTGACTTCAGTTTCTTCTAATTGGTGCCTCTGTTTGTGTGTTCACTAGCTAAAGCATAAATTATAAGATAATGCTTCATGTTAAACATGAAATTAGAGGGTTAATGAGAAGCTTTGGTTCAATAACTAGAAAATATGAGCATATTTAGATAAATCTAATAACTTTTTACTTTCCCACTGAATGCCATCAGACTCTGGTAAAGTGGTATTTGTTGCTAAAAGGCAAGTGAAGAAAATATTTTGTACTGCATATAATGAAACGTTTTTCAGTGCTAATAGAAAAATTATTGTAGAAACATTTCTTGCACAGCTTAAAATAGCTAGTTCATTTTGAATGTTATTTAGATAAGTATTCTTTTAATTCCGGGTACATTTTTTATATTAATTAACATTTATAACAGTAATGAATTGTGTATTATGTAAAGTTTGTAAAATTATGGCATAATATGTTTGTTTTATTTTATTAAGTTACAAAAATCTTGTGTTTAATTGATTCTCCGTGTTATGTTTTTAGAATTAGTTATATATGTTTGACTTGTAAGAACAAAGAATTATGAAGAATTATTTGTTGTAGCATGCAGGTGCAATATATCTGGGATTATTGGAAACCCTGAATGTAATGAGTTTACAGGAGAGTGTACCTGTAAGAAGAATGTTGTTGGAAGAGATTGTAGTCAGTGTTTGGTAAGATATATTACTTTGTTTGTTTTTTTTAAATGTTTTCAACACATTCAATTGATGAAGTATTTCATTGCAATGTAAACTTCCATGTATACATTAATCTGACAGTCATAAATGTAATTATTTAAACTTGTTCCTTCAGTGTATAGTTTTTTTCAAAGGGTTTTGGATACTTGCATAATTAAGCTACATGTGTGGTTAGATGCATCTTGTGTAAAAACATATGTCATAAGTTATATTTTGATTATTTTAATTTGGGTACATGATGTTAAGATCAAGTAAGTCTATAAAAGTAGTCCTTCAATTCCTGGAGTATTTGTGAATGATAAAGATCAAGAAATTTGGTGAAATATCTATAAACAACACTACATTATAAATACAAGAATCGATGAAGCATTGAGTTAATTTTTCAGTTTGTAAAGTACCATTGATTCAGTGAAATATTTAGTTTTATGGTTTTTTTTCAGTGATTGAGAAGTTAGTGAAGTAATTCAGATCAGTGTTGGTTATTGTGTATATTCAGTTTATATTTGATTAGCTGTTAAAAGTGTACATTTTGGACATTAATCATAGTACCATTAGCAAGTAAATTTCTGTTGAAAGTGCAAATGTTATTTGTGAACTTGAGTCTACAGTACAAATGATAGTAGCCTGTTGCAAACATTAGGGGAGAAATAAACTAATTTGTTATTACTACATGTATGGGATTTTGTTTTATTTTCAACAAATAATTCAAAAGAACCTGTCCAATGATAGGATATGTTAAAACAATAATATAAGCTGAAGTCAGTTTCTTAAGAATAAAACACTAATCTTTGTATGGCATTGATGATTTTGAATAGGTGAAAACTATACCAAAGTAGTGTAAATCATATCTTGAAATTCATAAATGTGTAAACAACAAAATGGCAGGAGTGGAATCAAAGCAACTCTGGTTTTCAAATAGACAATGTTAAATGGAAGAGGTTATGTGTGAAGGTACACTATTACAATAAATTCAAGAGCTCTATAAACTTGCTGATGGATTGAGCTCATCTTGAAGCTTTCATATACATTGAATGTTATGTTATCAGAAAAATTTCATTTTCTTTATTTAGATTTATCTTTAAATAAATATGGAACTTACTATAATTCATGGCAAACATGGAAAAACTTGAAAATGTCTTAAAAAATTTGAGGAATATCTAACTGACCAAGGAAATGTAATGTTTTGCTAATCATTAAAGATTTTATTGAAATAGTACAATGAGCTTATTTGTATTATTTGTAATAAAAGTATTTGCCATATTAAAAAGTAGAATATTTTCAACTTCTCATATTTTAATATTTTCTCTATCTTTCAAATTGCATCACCAAATTGAAACTGGCTACTGTGTTTTAAGCAGATGGCAAATTTAAAGATGACCAATTGTCACATGCTATTAAAGGTGGATGCATGGTGGTATGTGAAGATAATTTGGTGTCTCTGCTCAAGCTAATAAACTCTACTATTATAATAAAAGATAGTAGTTTTATATATAAAATGGTAAGGATGGCATACCAACCTATAAAGTTAAAAACATTTCTGGAAAAGTGAGAATTGAAGCAAGGTGAGATTTGAACTTGTGATTGCTTGAGATAGCTAACTACACTACAGTGTTTTGAATGATAAACATTTGGTTTTCACTTCATTGATTATTGAAGGGGTGAAATTTGGTAGAATGCTTGAGTTATGCCATTCAATTTGTAAGGCTCAAGATTCATTTTCACTTCATGGCTAGAATAGACCCCATAATTTAGTTTATTAGTTTTACCTAAATACAGCCTCCTAAATTACGTGAATAAGGAATTAATTAATAATCTTTTGTTTTTTAATATTGGATTAATCTCTTGATAAAATGACACTACTAATAATTATGAAGACAATTCTCTGTTGTATATATTTTGTTACAATGATTGTTGTTTTAGTATTACCTCGTGTTCAGTATTTTATTTTGAAATTAGCATACATTAGGTATTTTATTTAAGTGTCTTTTGATGAAGATTTTCTTTTGTAACATCAACAATGTTTACTTGCATGTTAGCCTGAGTTCTGGGGGTTTAGTTCTGATGAATTAGGCTGTAAACCATGTGACTGTGACTCAGGTGGAGCATATGATTATAAATGTGATGTAATAAATGGTCAGTGCCATTGTCGACCTCATGTAAATGGACGTCGCTGTGACCGCCCATTGTCACGTTACTTTGTTGGAAATCTAGACTATGTAATATATGAAGCTGAACTTGCAAGAGGTTGCCAAGTAAGTATTGAATAAATTTAATAGTAACTACATCCATATGATTTATTAGTTTGGTTTATTTAAACATATCTTTTGAGACCACAGTTTTCTGTAACTTAACCTTTCACATTCTAACTTCCTGACAGATACTCGATTATAGTTTATAATGGTCAGCAGTCATATTCCAATGTAAAAACGAATAATGGGCTTCTGAATTGAGTATTTATTTACTTAAAAATTAGTTGTTTCATTATGTTTCCTGAACTTTACTTAAAAAAGATAATCATTATAATGGTTAAAATTTTTTACAGAACTGTCAAATGAATATCAGAGAACCAGAATCAGATAAAGAACCAACATGGACTGGACTTGGTTTTATGACGGTTTATGAAGGTTCCAGCCTCAGGTTTAACATTACTTATATTCCTCAAACACTGGAGTATGGTATTGTGATTCGTTACGAGCAACAGGTTATATTTCACTTTTTTTAATGTTGCAAAAGTGTGTTTTTGAGATAACTAGTGTGACATATGTTTCAAAAGACAGATCTAAATAAATTAAAATATTAATAAATGTTACTGTCATAAATGAAATATTGCTAAAGTTGAAACAAAAAGAAAATGAATTTACTCAGAAAACACAAATACAAATTTAGTAATTATTTAGTGTCATTGATCAACTTAAGAAATATTAAATTTATTTCTTTAGAAGTATATATTTTATTGTTCTAAAGCCCAATGACTACATCTATATATCAATTTGAAAACTTAATTTAAAAGAAAGGCATTAAGTTGAGTTTTTAAGCATGGTATAATGCTGGGTAGTATGTTTCATATTCACAGAATTTCAATTTATTCTAAGTTTTATTTTTGAACATGCTAAAACTGATTAAAGTTGTATGTCAGTTCAGCCTAGAAATTAATTTCTGAAGTATTATTCACTCGGTGTACTGGTTAATGGTGTGGTAATTTGAGAGTAAACCTATCTCACAGTCACTTGATCTTTGTATAAACAAGAAGTTTGTGGACATAACATACAAAAGAATGAGTGTAGCAATTTGTTATAAGTGAAATGAAAGAGACAAAGTTAAAATTAAAATAACCTTTTATTAATGGAGGAACAGAAAAACATTTGCTGATAATGCTAATGGTATGAATATTGTAGTTTACTGAAATTAAAGGTTGAAATAAACAATGAAATTAAACAGTTTAAATGAAGAAACTATAAGAGAGGTAATTGTATTTAACAAAAAAACAAAAGGTTAGATAAAATTAAACTTTACTGACAACAGTTGAACTATATTTGATCAGCAGGCACTGGTAGAACAGAATAAACAGTAACAGGACTTAGTGAGTTCTGACTCTCTCAGATACTGTTTTTTTTCTCAGGAGTTGAAACGAGCTTGAAGTGAGTGTGTCAAAACCGCATTCATAATACACATTTTCCTTGAGCTGATCAATTGGATAATAGGCACTCAAATGTGGAAATATCTCTTCTTCATGTGACAATTGCTAGGTACTCTCCATACACAAAGTTTTCTTGACTGGACAGGCTACAAAAAACATAGTGCTTCAGACAGAATTTATCATATTACCTCACTGGATTTAAGATATTCTTAATTTAAGATGTTGATCATTCACTGCAATCTTTTTCTATTCAGTCAACTAGCCAGTCCATTACAGTTTATATGTAAAATGTTTTTTTTTGTTTTTTCCCTTTTAATTAAATGAATTTTTCTTTGATTATTTTTAATATTTTACAGTTTATTCTCTAGCTTAACCTGTCATAATACAATAGTTTATAGCCACTAGTTCAATTGGCTATTATCCTGTTTTGTGCTTTATCTTCTAAAAAATAAAATTTTTATATTTATTTCTAATTCAAACCAAGTTATGTATTACTTTCATTCCACCTACAACAAAGCTGTCTTTCCACATTCTTGTTATGGAAATCTTGTTGTTGAGAAATTTAAGTAATTGTGGGTTGTTTATCCTTGGAATGTCAAAAGGTCTTAAAAAAATCCATCTATAGAAACTTTGTTCTTAGAAAAAAAGGTTTATTACTGTGTATGAATAATTTAGAGTACAGGATAATTATTTATTAAAAGTCCCAAATTTCTTTTCAAGTATTGGGTGTCAATGTTAATTTTCTCAAGCAAATGAAGATTATTATATAGCCAAGGTTTTTTTTTGGTGTTTTTATATATGTAAATGCCAGATAACAACTAGCTAATATAAACATCTGTTGAAGTAAATATTGTTTTTCTGTTGTGTTTTTCATTTCATTTCACCTTTTCCTATCTATATCAGCAGTAATTCTGAAGGCTTATAATTCTAAAAACCGAGTTTTAGCTCATTGTATAGCTTTGTGCTTAATAACAAATAAGACAAAACAAACTATATATCACATTTTTCTATGTAACTGGTTTATTCTAAGCAGTTGGTTAATATTCCTTAACTATAGTAATGGATTTTTTCTTATTTAAGGATTTGTTCTATGAAATAAAGTATTCATACACAATTTAGATAGTTTTCTTGTTTTAAAGTAAAACTTCATCATAATAAAAACTTAATGATCTGAATTTAATTATGGACATGTGGTCGTTGTAGTAGAAACATTTATCCTATATTTTCCATTATCAAGTAACAATAAACCAAAGCTTATGAATTTTGCAAGCTATTAAGCTTTCATAGAAGTGTATTTTGTATGTGATGAACATTCATGATGGTTTGAATTTAAGTACTTTAAAACAAAATCAAGTAACAAAATAAATAAAGGATATTAAATAAATTCAAATGTTAATTATCTTCAATTTCATAAACTTTTATAGAAGATGAAGTTATGGTACTACTGGGATATCTCAAGGTCACACCTGGCTACTAACAAAACTAAAATCAAAAGACTAAAAACAACTGGTTTGCCCTTTATAAATTCAAAAATTAAATTAATGCTATGTGACAAAGGTCTTGGGTAATTCTGTCCTCAGAATCAAGATCTTTAAACCTTGTACTTCAACCAGTCACTTAATGTACAACATAATACTCTCTATTTCATACATGTTTATTCAGTAACTCAAGGAGGCTAATTTTTAAACAAAAAAAAAATAAATTTGTAGATGGAGACCATCATATATGGAGAATGCATGGATAGAGGTATGAAAGTCTAAGTTTTGTGTTAAGTTGGATGCAGATGAAACCAAACAAAATAAAGTTAAATATTTCTAACTTCTAATGGTTAAAATTTAGATAAAGTAGAAATGTGAAACTTGCCTTGGATAAATGACAGCTTTATCAATTTTCGTTATTTAAGAATTCAGTAAATAAAAGTGTGCTTGTACACACTTTTGGTTACTTAGTGTCTGCTTAAATATATTTTAATGTTGTATTTAGGGCCATTAATGAAGTCATTTTGCATTTAAAAAACAAATTGACACAACTGTAAACTTGCAACAAATTAATATGCCTGTACATCCAAATATATTAATATCTCATTATTGGGAAGATCAGATATATGTGTGCTTGGCTTATTCTTGGAATATTATTACAACAAAGTTATTTTGAAATTAAAATATGCATTTTTTTAGTATTTAATTATGATGTTCTTTTACTTTTTTATAGCTTCCTTTAGACTGGGAGAAGGCAGTAGTTTACATTGAGAAAACAAGTCATATTGATCATGTGGGACCATGTGCTAAAACACAATTATTGGATGAGAAGATATTCTCATTATCTTCAAGTAAAGATTTTATTTTGCCTGCTTAATTCTCAGTTTCATACTCCTGTGTTTTTGGAAGGCATATCTTCCTCCTTCAGGGATAAAGAAAGATGGGCCTTTTGAGAGCACAAGTCATTGGGTTTCTAATTTTGATTATTTTTTCCTTAAGCAATTTCTTAGGATCGTGTATGTGTTTTAAATCAGTATTTATGAGCTCTGCTTACTAAACAATAAGCAATGAATCTAAGTGACAAAAGAACGTTAAGTGCAAATCAAACACTCAGTCTGGCACTCTTGAAAGTTAGCATA